AACAATTCAAAAAAGGAACAAGTGTTATTTGAGTAAGACAAATATTTAAGTTACCATATTAAATCTAATTTAATTCATTATAAATAACTAAGATATTCTAATAATATTACATGATTCATTACACATCGGGATAGTAAGTAGTTTCAAACTTCTTTTTACTTCTCGGGTAAGGACGAAGAACTTTCGGAATATACGGCGGCAAGTGTTCGTTCAGTTTCCTTTTGTATGGATTAACACCAAGCTCAAATGGTCTAACTTTCCTTTCGAAAAATCTAGTATTATGTTCAATTTTGTATATCTTTTCCCATAGATAAGTTTCAGGTAGAAGGAAATGTTTAGGTCTATTGGACACGAGGTGCTTGTACCTGTCTTCTAACCAACACCGTTTCTTATCGTCATCAATGTCAGCAATTACTTTTTCTTCTTTGCCTAAGTATGGCTTCATCTCATGTTCCCTTTCCTCGGGAGAATTTAAGTAAAACTGTACTAACATTTTTAGTACATCTTCATTCAATCCTTTAACTTTTCCATCTTCAATAGTGTCATATAATTTCATAGGTGTTGATCCAAAACAGATATTGTGTTTAGGGTTTTCATCAATTTGTTCATTGTGCATAGTGACAGTGTTCAGCTGGTATGCATAGAAAGACCAAAGTTGTCCATTTGTTATTACTGTTTGGGTGACTAGAGGATATGTGAGGTCATTGAACGTGGTGAAGCCCTGGTAACTGGCCTGGGCCAATAGCCAACCAAAGCTGTTTTTCATGGCCTGGCAATGCAGGGCTTCAAGTTGGTCATTCTCGCCATATGATTCTTTTCGAACTAACAAGTGACCTCTTCCATGGATAGATAATAGTCCAAATTCGTCATAGTCTCCAGGCCAGAAACCTAAAAAAAGCAATATTTTGTGTAAGATCCATTTGCCTGAATGTCCACGATGTTATCTGAGGTACAGTTTCCACTTATGTGAACTTGCATAAAGATTGTTTGTCAAAAAATATGGCACAAGTGGAAGAAATAAACTTAGTGAATAGCAAATACAAAATATAGTACTTATAAAAAGCTACAAATCAGTAAAGTTACTAATGTTATATTGTAACAGCTGAAGTATTTCAAACAGAGTACATTTTACCAGGAATATTAGTGCCATGTCTGTGCTCAGTGAAGTAACCAACAGACTCTGGGACATATGTGAACTTGGGTACTTTGAACTCTGGATTTTCAGCCTCGCTGTAAGGTATTAGAGGTTTCAAAGGTTGATGACTCCTGATTGCTATGAATGGTGTACCTGGAAGTAAAATTTAGGCGGTTGAATGCATTTCTTTGTTATGTCCATTTTATTATGGTTTTAAAAATAAGTTATTTGGTTAGTATTTTCTTACAATGGTGCCTAAAAAAATCAACTTGTAGATTATTTAATTTTAATTAGTTTACATAAATAAATAGGCAACATCACATACGTTGCTCACGTTCCAAGCTAAGTAGCTAAAGCACTTGTGTTATGGAAATTAGCGATACCACAAACATCCAGATTCGAAACAAAATAGAAAAGGTAGTTAGTTTCTACATTGACCCGGCCGGGGATCCAACCCAGGACCTCAGAGAAGGCGACACTATGAAAACCGGTGTGCAAGCCATTCGACCACTGAGGCCATCATTCGTAACATAAATATCTATATATTTTTTTTACATCGTAATTTACATGAAATAGCTCTCAATCATTTGATATAATAAGATGTAGAACTGTGAATTTGGTGTAAATTAGGTATAAACAAAACGAATAATACCTAAGTATTGCACAGGTCTGTCGACTGGCTCATGCAGACGTTCCGGTTCCCTGAGCCACTTGTACTGTTTCCGCCACTTGATCACTCTGGCTGGAACGTCTGTGCCACCAACAAACCAGAAGGCTTCATGACGAGGGTCATAGTCCACCTGGAATATATATATTTTAAAATAAATATATTTTGCATTGGCATACTAATAGTTTGTTTTATAGATCAAAGTGAAAAAACAACAATTTCATGTTTGAAAACATTTGGCAACTTGCACCTAGGTACTCTAATAATAAAGTGGTTATATAATAATATCAACACTATGTTCTAAAACAAGTGAATTGAATATCAACAGTACACATCATGTAATGTGACAGAAAGGCTATTGAATGGAAAATAAGGACAGTTAAGTATTCACAATATATTATTATATGGCGTTGTTTTTAGTTTCTCTGTTAAACTACTGTTCCTGAGAAACGTAGGGAGCGCTTATTAAATTTCGCAAACCGACTTCCCCATACAAAAACTTTTGAAATGCTTGTGTAGACAGCAAACATGCAGTAGATAACTGATAGAATATTAAGCAATGTTCTAAAATCTACTAAAGAAAATTTCAAAATTAAGCAGTCTGCAGCATGAACACAATAATTTTGATAATTCACAAGTTTAAAGTAAATAGAGATTTATCATATTAAATGTATTTTAGCTTTTGTGAAAGAATATGCAGTAAATCTAGGGCATTCGGGATAATCCTTAATTTTAAAAAACTGGATTTTCTCGGATTTTTACTAAATTTTAAAATCCGGATTTTAAAATAGAATCCGTATTTTTTAAACATTTTTATTTGCGCTTCCACAAACAGAATTTTAAATTATCCGCGTCAAAAAAAAGTCATTATTTCCAAACATTAACATTGAATTTTTACATTTCATAAACTTTTTAGTTTTTTTTTTAGTTACGAAGTAATATTTTTGTTAAACTTTTGTACTTGTATTTTTTCTATATTATAGAATTTTCGGATTCATCGGAAATCCGTTTTCAAAATTCGGATTTCAAGTATGATGTCTCCCTCTTCAATAAATCTAAAATACAAAGCAAAGCAACTGCGTCCAGTTGTACATAGCTCAGTGCAAATTAAGTTTTAAATTAAGTATCATAATAATATTGTAATATAACCATAATATGATATGATATTTATAATGTAATAATTGTATATTACATTATAAATATCATACATTTTGATAAAGCAGCAGTATTTATTTACAAACCTGTGCTGAGAGTATATGTGCAACCTTATCAGCCAGGTTGTTAGTTATGATCCTGTTTATCTGTTTTACTATGCATTTTGCTATTGCATTTTCCTTTTGTTCTTCCTCTGTTTTATCCAAGCTTGGTGAAAAGTTTCGGCTGAAAATTTCATTTAACAGTGTTTAGGTTACAACCATAACAATTTAATTTTCAGTATCCTACTAGAAAATGTAATCCATATTTCTACCATGAGTTTATGGTGTTCTTAGTACAGTGAAACCTCGCATCGCGCGACCCCGCATTGCGCGATTTTCAAAATTCGCGCTAATTTACCCCATTCGGCTAATTTGAACCCATAGCTTTCAGTTACTAAAAGTGCATTGTCAGAGGTAGTTCTTTCTTGGTAGGTCCTTTAATTTGTAATCACATTGGTACTGTCTGTTATCCAGTTATGCCAAATTAGAGACCCAAGAGCGCCCAAAAAGCTATACCACCGGGTGGGCCACACAAAAAAGTACAACCCCATTCTATGCAAATTTCGCTTAACGCGATTTTGTCCAGAAAGCATCCCTCGCGTAAAGCACGGTATTACTGTAATTGGACATAGTTATGCAAACTAGAACCAACCCACAAAATGTCACTATCGAGGTAATTAGATTTTTGTGAAAACAGTGTGAAGAAATAAATAGATAAATTATTTGAGAGAAACGTGAGTTATGTGTATCACGCAAAATAGGCGCCTCGACGTCGAGTTGTGGAAACCAGCCCATTGCACCAATACCAATAATATGTGTATCATTGAGAATGATATAGGGAAACTATTATATATATAGCAATAAACAGAAAACATTATGTATCTTTTTATTTAGTTAATGAGAACCATGTTCTAGTTTTCGTAATGAAAATGCTAAAGATCTACTGTACTTCAGTACATGTAACATTTAGCATATTTAAAAAAATACATTATATGAATTTAAGTAGGATGGTTCTTTTTAGCTATTAAAAAGTTACTTATTTAGGGTTGGTACTCTAAAGGACTTTTATTTTCTCCGTTTTGGCTTGGTATATTGCCAGGATCTTTTGTGAGCGGGTAAAGGACATGTCTGGTGGTCTACCTAAATACATAACTCAATTTCACTTGAGGTGTGGGTTGGTTCTTGTTTGCATAACTATGTCCAATTGTTTCTGAATACGAAATTATGTCTCACGATTTTTAACCCCAGGTGCATATAAAGGACTTACAGGGGCCTGTAGCACTCTTACTACCACAAGCGTCCTATGGACCCATGGTGCCCCACAGCACAAAAATTGTGTTTGGAACATTATTTTTGTTAATTTTAGATGTTGGTAAGCTTGTAAAATTAATTGTAGCAAAAAATAAAGTACTAATGAGATTTTTTTCTTGTCTTGGGTAAAGGTTGTTGTTCAATTCGTCATATAAAATTATTGAATATTTTACAGTTACTAGCAACTTGTATATTGCATACTCCTAGTAGGAATGGTGCCTTTAAATTGCACTTTACAACAAAATAAGACATAAAATACTTGAACACAAAGATGGTCAAGCGTAAAATAGGCACCCAGTCATAGAGTTGCAAACACCAGCCTGTTACATACTATACTTGTACAAAAAAAATATTTCTTTAGTAGTTCACTAGGGGCAATATACAATTTACCACACAAAACTGTCAATTATTTTGTAGTCTCCAATTAATATCTACAGCTGAGCTCATGGCAAAGGTTTAAGATGTCACATAATACTCAAGACTCCTTTGCTACACGATAAGACTGAAAAGTAAATAAAAAAGCAAAAGTATATGCTTACTCAATCTTTTCATATTCAATAACAATAGCATCTTCAACAAATGACTTTACATCCTTCACGGTCAAGTCTGCAGCTGCCGCCGTCTCCAAATATGGATCAGGCAGCTTATTTATCAGCTTAAAATGAGTCCGCGTGTAACCCTGAACTAGTGGCATAGCGTTATACGGCACCTTGTCATCCTTGAATATCACACTACGGAAACCATAATACCGAGGCATGTTCAAACCTATCTGCTTCTCTTCTACAGTATTTAATTTCCTTATCTTCTCGTGAATAGCCTGCTGCTCCCGTAACTTCCTAGCTTTTAAAGACATATCCACTATCGGAGGATACTCCGGCATTTCAGTGTATTCGTCTTGGTTAAACGCAACTTGAGACGATTGTCTTGCTGTAAATTGTTTGAGCTTCGGAAACGACCTATGACCTCTCAATAAATGCATTTTTGTTTGTTTTTACTGTTCAAATTATACAGAATTGAGGTTATTCCATTTTTAAGGACCACAATTTTTTTTAAAGATATGGGATCACAGAACACTACTCACAATATGGGACTCGGAAAAGTATCGATATTTTTTGGTATCGATACTTTCCCTCCAATACCGATATTTTTCAGGTATTAATACTTTTTGACAAGTATCGTATCGTTTCAAATAATTCCTGCTTAGGACACCTCATATCATAACGCAAGCTATCTAGCGATTTTTTTAAGGGTAATCTTTATCACAAATTACTTGGCTATAATATTGTATGCCACCATTTGCCTCTTTCAAAGTTCTTCAGAACGTTTGTTCTCAAAAGCAGGCAATATTGAATCAAAACGAGAAACAGACCGTCACTAAATAAATTTTTTTATCTTATTTTTTTTATATTATTCTGCTTCCCCAACACCTGCCTTTGCATTTACCCAATGAAAGGCTAAATGCGAAGGCAAAGCCAATAATATTAACAAAAAAAAAATGAAATGGATGGGGACACGGTATCGAATCAAAAGTATCGATACTATACTCATGAGTAGTATCGCACAAAAGTATCGTACTCATAAAAGTATCTTGAGGTATTGTTACTTTGTCCTGCAGATTTTCTCTACATAAAAGCAGAATAAAACACAAGAATTTGTCTCTTTTTTATTAATTTTTGATTTTTAATTGAAACAAACAGAAAAACAATTTGATAAATTCAATCAAGTTCTTTGAGTGCGTTTGAAAGCCTTTGAGTGTCTTGAGTACCCTTGAGTGTCTTCGAGTGCCCTTTAGTGCCCGCGAGTGTCCTGAATGCCTTTGAGTCTTTTAGTGCCCGTGAGTGCCTTTGAGTTCTCGCGAGTACCTTTGAATACCTTTGAATACGTTGAAATGTCTTGAGTGCCTTTGGTATCTTTAAGTGCCAGCGACTGCCTTTGAGTGTCTTGAGTGCTTTTGAGTGCGTTTGAGTGCCCGCGAGTGCCATCCACTCAATAGCACTCAAAGGCACTCGCTGGCACACTCAATGACACTCAAAAGCACTCAAAGGCACTCGATGGTACTCAAAGGCGATGAAATGCATTCAAAGGCTCTTGCTGGCACTCAAAGGTACTCAATGGCACTCAAAGGCACTCGCTGGCGCTCAATGGCACTCAAAACCACTCGAAGGCACTGTCGGGCACTCATAAACACTTAAAGGCACTCGCGGGCACTCATAGACACTCGCTGGCACTTAAAAGCAGTCAAAAGCACTCAAAAGCACTCGCGAACACTCAAAGGCACTCGCTGGCACCCAAAGGCACTCGCGGCCACTCAAAGGCACTTACGGGCATTCAAAGGCACTCGCTGACACTCAAAGACATTCGCAGGCACTCTAGGCACTCGCGGGCACTCGCAGGTATCTAACTTAAGTAAAGACTTGAAAACATTTCCACCATATCTGGTGGAGTCGCAGCCTTACAATCTGAACAGATTGTTACATTACAGGCGAATGCTCCCGGTGAAGGAGGCTACTAAATGTTACAAGTGTTGTAGTGTGAGTATGTTGCAATTGGTTTACATTCCTACCACAATTAGTGAGATGTTATAGACTCGAAAAACGTAGATACTAAAACAGTATTGTTACATAAAACAATAGCAAAATGAGAAGTTATTGTACGTAATTATTTCATAAAAAGGGAATTAAAATGAATTTTATTATAAAAAACAATGAAAATGAATATCCATGTTTTGGGATAAATACTCAGTAAAAACGGATATTTATTGGATATTTATCGGGTTAAAACTCATCTTTACCCGCGCTGAGCCGAATATTTCTTCATATAATGTATAAAAATTTAACAGCTGTAATAATAATATAATGTTTATTCTTTATTTATACCATGTTTATTTACATCTCATAATTCCTCGCCTGATTACTTTTTCACTTTTTCTCCAACTTTCGAATCCCGTTTCCAAATTACATTCCATAATATTACGAAAGTTTCCCCGTTTTAAAAACAAGTTAGTCAAAACACTTTGAAAGTGGCTAAAACGCTTACCGCGAAGAGCCAAATGAAATAAGAAAAAAAAATGTACATACTCGTGGAGAGAGAGAGAGGGGGAGAAATATTACCGTTCGGATACACACACTATCAAAATTTTTTGGTTTCGTTTTCTTGATCATGTTCATGATACATACAAGTTTTTGAACGCAAGAAAAGCTGATGCAACTTTTTGACAGCCATCTGCCAAATTGTCTTTGAAAGTGGTGAAACATAACCCAATTCTTCAATTTCTCGTGCACATTAGTTACTAATTACACAGTAAATCATGGATGACGACATGGTATTTGATCCTTCGTTAAAAAAGAAGAAGAAGAAGAAGACTGGCTTCGATATGGAGGCCGCATTGGCTGAGCAAGGCGAAAGCACGAGCGTGGAGGTGCCCGCTGAGACGGGTGACGTCGATGTCCCGGAGGACGACACTCTCGATCTAGACAATTTTGGCAAGAAGAAGAAAAAGAAAAAGAAGCCAGTGTTCAACCTAGACGATATGGACAGTGCTCTGCCGGAGGCTCGCGAGGACAGGCCTCCGGCAGAGGAGCCCGAGACGAAGGAGGAGGAGGAGGAGGTAGTTGATGATCTGGACCTTGACATAGACTTCTCCAAAACTAAAAAGAAGAAGAAGAAGAAAAATGTAGACGAGTTCATTCTAGAGGATGAAGCTAACCTTGCGGACCAAGAGAATATAGACGACACGCACGGCGATTGGCACGACAGTGAGCGCGATTATACATACGATGAACTGCTCGATCGTGTCTTCGAGATCATGCGTGAGAAGAATCCCAACATGGTTTCTGGTAAAAAGCAAAAGTTTATCATGAGGCCCCCACAGGTTGTCAGGATTGGAACGAAGAAGACCTCTTTTGCAAACTTTACAGAAATTTGCAAAACACTTCACAGACAACCAAAACATTTACTTGACTTCTTATTAGCAGAGTTGGGTACAAGTGGGTCTGTGGACGGAAACAGCCAGCTCATCATCAAGGGTCGTTTTCAGCAGAAGCAAATAGAGAATGTCTTGCGTCGGTATATTAAGGAATATGTAACATGTCATACTTGTCGCTCTCCAGACACTATCCTGCAAAAAGACACAAGATTGTTCTTCCTACAGTGTGAGACATGTGGATCGCGTTGCTCAGTAGCGAGTATTAAATCAGGTTTCCAGGCTGTCACAGGCAAGCGTGCTGCTATCCGTGCAAAGACTGCATAGAATGTTAGTGCTTAGTGATAAACAATTTTACAGTCAAGGTTCTGGGGTACATGCAGTTATAGTCCCTGCTATACGGTTATTGTCACCTGCAATGAATTGGGTGCTGGTTGTAAATGTATGTAGTATTATTTTGTTGTGCAATTTTGATGTCCCAAAGAATGAATGTTGTCTGAGAGATTGTGTAAATAGTCATGAACTAGTTTATGTTCAACATCATTAATTTCAACCAAGTATAGTTAGAAAAAATTGAACTTTTTTATCTTTCATATGACATTCATTCTTACAATTTCATTTAACTTGTGAGGTATTAAAACATTGTAATATAATATTTTGTATTGCGTCGTGAGTATTTCTATTGTTTTACATAAATTGCATCTTGTTTACATTCAGAAACACTGAATTACAGAACTGGGTGTGACCATTTAAAAATTGTGAAGGCCCAGTTTGTACACAAAATTACTTACAGTGTGACCTCATTGATAATGTGCTCAAATGCTAAAGGTTCTGGATGTACCCCAACTCTAATTCATATATTTATGTATAGCCAACTCCTGTATTATTCTCATTGATACACAATGTTTTATAAATGGATCTTTTATTTAAGCTAGTCTCCTTCAACTTATTTACATTTAGGTGGCGACTACATATCAATATTTGTGTTTTACAGATAACAAAGACATTTTCGTCATATTATCAGTTATCTATTATAAATGAGATAATGAACAAAAACACACTATTAACAAACCCTGAAACCCAGATCATAAAATTCTTTATTTTTGTATAATAAAATAACAATAGTCAAAGTATTAACATTACAAAAAGATAAAAATATAGTGTTAGAAATATAACCATTACAAAATGCATGTAAATTCAATTAGTAATGCTTATAAAATAGTTCATTCTCTAATATTAGGGTAGCGTTTAGTTTTTTTTAACAATTTGAGGTTCATAATCAAACTTACAAGCCTTACTTAGACTCTCAGCATACAAATCAAGACGTTGGGTCATAACAAAGCCCCATTTATCTTTAATCTGGCGACATAAGTTTAAATCTATAGTTGCCATGAGCAGGCCATCTTTTACCCTTGACAATCCAGGAGTCCTCGTGCCATCAGGACCACTAGCATAACTGGAGCCATAGAAATGACCAAAGTCTTTATGGGCAGGCTTTCCATCTCCAGATGTAAATTCATTAGGGAATTCCTCAGTCCCTAATCTATTTATGGCAAAGGTGAAGTAGTTATTAGCAACAGCTGCGTTTCTTGCTTCAATTGCCCAGAGATGCTCACTCAAGCCAGCTGCAGTAGCTGAAGGATTGAAGACTATCTCGGCTCCATTGATTCCAAACATCAGCCAGTTCAGAGGATGGTGACGACCGTAACAAATGTTGACAGCTATCTTACCAAACTTAGTATCAAATACTGGATGGCCAGTATTGCCTTCGAAATAATATGTAGATTCATTGAAGTCTCCAACCCTAGGAATATGGTTTTTCCTATGCGTACCAATAACTTTGCCAGTTTCGTTTATAATCACTGCTGTGTTCCAGATTGAGTCACCATGCATATCATCTCTTTCAAGAATGGGTGATACTATGACCATGCCATGTTTTGCTGCAAGTTCTTTAAGGAATACAATGCTGGGTCCATTCACAGTAGACTCGGCAAATTCACACCATGGATGTTTTTCTCTGGTACAGAAGGCAAAGGGCATGCTCCATGCTTCTTGCAGACAAAGTATATTAACACTTTCATTCGCTGCTACCTCAATGAACTTTCGAATTTTGTCGAAAATAGCCTGTCTCTGTTCTAATATAGGCTTATCAGTTGGGGCCACAATAGAATGCTGTATAACTCCAATTTTCACCACTCTAGGAGTTCTGGTTTCCTCTTTCCTTGCTGGGAAGTTATATGCAGCAATGTCGAAGTTATTTTCCGTAGCGAATTCTTCACTACTCGTCTTTATAGGGATCTCCAAGTGTTTGGGCCTTCCATAGTGGATCCTGTTGTATTCTTTCAAATCTTCATCTGATAGATTAGCGGTGATAATTTTGTCTAAACTTTCGGTTTCATTCGAAGATGCCATTCTGAGTTGTTGTTTAATAGATAAGAAACAATTCAAATAATTAAAATAACCTTTTCGTAACCACCTCGCTGTTAAAATCAGAAACTTATCACATTTTTAAGATAATTTCTTGATATTTATGGGTGTTAAAACGTGTGAACGAGAGAGAACATATAAATGAAACAAATAGCATTAGAAATGGATGTGTGTGATGAACGTTTTATAGTATAGTATATGTGGTTTAGTTAATACGGTAATATGTATGTAGGTAACCAAACACAAGCAACAATTAAGTATATATCTTTTTGCAGTTTGTATACATGCATGAATTTCTCTGTTATTTGTTGAAAGCGGTGTTATAATAATTTATTGTAATGATGCATTGACCATGTAATGATGCTATGTAATTATGTAATAAATAATTATATTACATTTTTACAATGAATAACTTTTTGGTTCATCTCTTAATTTTTTTATATTAAGCCACAGTCTGTGTATCTGAACAACGAAGAATTTTGACAGCTGTATGGTTCAGTTTGTGATTTTGTCCGTTCTTATTTCTTCTTTTCGCCTTGTTAATTTCGATTTCGAGCAGTGTTTTTATACGTAATTGCATTTCTATTAAGAATACAGATAAATAATTTTGTATCACAATGAACAATACTTTACCAGCTCAGCCCATTGGGATCCAAAGCACAGCTGGTGCAGTGCCTGTTCGAAATGAAAAAGGTATGATGCACTTCGATAAATTATTTAGTACCGATCTGTACCATTACTTCTCTTGCGATAAACTCATGAAACTGTACTTTGAAGTCATGGCAAGTTGGATGTCAAAAATAGTTAATCCTAAAAATCTATGAAATGTCTGTTCTATTTTATTGAAACTTCTATGATGAACTGGAACGATCAATTAATTGCTTTGTACTGACCACATATTTTATTCCAACCAAATACTATGCAAAGAATCATTCGAACCTACGCAAAAACCTTCAATAACTGCCTATTTGTCTTAATAACTGCAAAAATCTCTTGCAATCAGTCATTTTGTATCAACATGGCACTGAGTCTTCCAACACAAATACTTGATAGGTTATTCCACAAAGACATATTGCCTTTTCACATTTTCTTATAGGTTTTAGTAAAACAAATAAGTGGCTGAACAACAACTTAAGCTATGGTGAAAAAAAGAGTTGTTAATTTGACAAGCAATCTCAAGAACAGGTCTCCAACCACTCGTAGGGCTATGATGTGTAGATGATGGTTTTGTATCAATATAAAAATCTAATCGCACAATCTTATGACATCAATATGAAGTAATTAATACATCAATATGAAGTAAATTGGAATGTTTTCTTTGTATAATTAAAAATAAGCTATTTAATTAATAACTATTGTAAATATAGTGAAAAAATAGGGTGGTTTGCATCAATGTTAGACATAACTGGTTGAATACTGTACCACCTCAGTCAACCGTAACCATGGGACCTGTAAAGGGCCCGAAATGTCGGTTTGTTTGAATAAACAAATATACGCGATTTAAATCCGGAAAAATAGTTTCATTTCCTATATATGTAGTATAGTTTATATATTATATAGACAATTTAGTTTTTTTTTTGAAAAGCGTCAACATCCCCCAATTATTTCCGAAGCCCATACTGCCACCCTACGAGTCTTCAGCGCCCACTGGGGGGCCGTAGGGACCACTTTGGGAAACTATGGTTTAGTCTGGGTAAAACTTCTCCAAGCTGAAATTCATAAGAAGATGATTAATATTATCTTAGAGGGAGAGGGCCTGGTGATTAGTCATACCGGGGTTATAACCCTTTATAATTAAATCTCTTTCAGTGTCCCAAATTGTTACAATTATAGTAACAAAACTGTATTTTAGTCATAAGTAAGCCTTGTGAGAGTAACTTATCATTCATTCAAATATTGCTGCACACTTTATTTTGTTTTTCAGGCGAAATTTCTATGCAAAAAGTGAAAGTCCAAAGGTACATATCAGGAAAAAAGCCAGACTATGCCCAAGGGGTGTCATCATCAGAAGATTCTGATATCGAAGACTTTATAGAGCAGCAGCGACCTGAGCGGAGGCAGACACTGCCAGTGGTTATCAGTAGGAAGGAGGAGGAGCACAGTGATTCTGAGAAAGAGGTAAGCTGTGTTTATTAGCAATATATGCACTAGTGTGAGTGTCACATCCTTGTATGCGCATATACTCACTACCAGTAATACATTTTCTGAATTTTCTGATTACAAAATTTCTATGTAAAAATAATAAATTTAATAAGTCTGACAATTGGGGTCAGAGAGTGACAACTGCAACAGGGGTGACAAAATGCTATGTTGTAGCAAGTTTACATAGCACGCAAAGCAATGTATGAACTAATAAGACAACTTACAACAGTAAGCACTCAAGTTGAGAGCAAAAACCTTTACTGTAACTACTCTGTAACTCCATTGTTGACCTCCATGAAGTCTTTATTATGAAATATAATATCCCCAGGTGGATGACCCGCGTTTGCGGCGTCTCCGTCAAGCAGTGCACTCGCCTCGCCGACGCGAAGAGCATGAGCCAGAAATCATTGACGCTGAACCTGAACCAGAGTCAGAATCCAGCGCGCATGAAGCAAGGGACAGCTCTGAGAGTGAAGATGATTTGGATGAAGAGGAAATCGAGAGAAGACGACAGGCACTTAAAGCCAAACTTGCAGCTAGGTAATGTTTTAAACTTTGTGGACTAACATGTAAAACAGAACATAAGTCTTGCTTAACAGAACACTATTTTTCAATTCACTTTGTATTTATTATTATATTTCTGGCTTTATCACTGTCACCTGTAATTTAACTATTTGAATCATCAGTAATTACAATTCAGAACCAAGACCAACAAAATTTGTGGTCTGTAGGATTTTCTTAATTTCAGTTATCTTTACCTCCTCTGCCTGGTGCATAATTTCCCTAAAAGCGAGTTTTGTTTACCCATTAGAGAACAATATTGGCTTAGGAGGTGCAGAAGCATTCTCTCTCTCTGCTCTCACTTAACTTGAACTTTGATATATGTTTATTTAAATCACAATATCTCAGAGAGCCTAAGGTACATTTTTAGGTTAGCCCCTTGCTAGAGTCTACCGTGTCAACAGCTTTAGGCATTAATCAGGGTCTTTGAGTGTTAGAGACTGGCTTGTAGGAGGAATTGTGGATAAGCTTAAAGTGCTAAATTTCCGTTTTTACTTTACTCAAACTTAGTACAAGTGCAGTTAGTGCCAACAAGTATTGTCGGTATTATTTTTAATATCTTATGATGTAAGATGTTGTTTCTGCTATAGGTAAAACTAGCTTGACAAGTGGCTATGAAAGCCCATCATCATTCACAGCAAATAAATAATTATAGATAAATTTACAGAGAGGCTGAGAAAGAAGCCCTAGGCCATGATGATGATGAGGAAATGTTGGATGGGGACAAAGAGGATAGTGGCTCATCAGATACAGAGTACACTGACAGTGAAGAGGACACAGGTAACATTCAGCTATTGTTGTAACTTACACATACCAGTAACATTGCACCTTAATTATGATCTTGTTCTCCGTTTACAGTTATGGTAATAACAGACTCGAAGTGTAATTTAATAAACAAAGGAAAATAATTGAATAAAAATAATAAATGTTTAGGTCCCCGAGTGAAGCCTGTATTCGTACGCGCATCGGAACGTATGACTGTCGCTGAACGAGAGCGGAAGCTGAAACAACAGAAGCGCGAAGAGGCAGACGCTAGGAAGGAGAAGGAGGAACGGAGGCGTGAAGCGTTAAAGCTCGTTGAGGAGACCATAAGAGCTGAACAAAGGGCCACACAGGTACTTTACATAATATATCCGTGAAACATTTAGGCACCAACTGAAAGACCTGTTCTTGGAAAACCCTTTATACTTCGTAAATAAATTTAGGGAACTTAAAATGTAACATGTACACAAATTTATTTTCTATTTTATTTAATAATATCGCATTTTTATCGCACTTTCACTACTTTTGTACTATTTCCTCTAATTTGAATACAGAATTTAATGATGCCAGTATTATTATGAAAGAATTGTTAATTTCATAATATTATTGTATAGTTTTCACTTTACGATTTTCATTATTGTTTGTGATCCCAATATCACTTCTTATACTTTGACATGTAGTGCAATTTATACTGTAGTATTATATTTGAGAAATAAATGAATCTGAATCTAAGAGGGAAAAATGAAGGCATTACACTGGAGGCCACAGATAATAATAAATTTATTCTGACATTCTGCAGATAAAAGTACCAATAATTAATAATATTCCTTTGACCTGACAGGACTTTTCTTTGTATTAATAATTTTAAAACAATATGTTAGTAAAAATCATAATATGTATTACAATTAGTTGAATAATTATAACGCGTCATCTTTTGTCAACCCCTGGTAGCTGTAAATGTACCTGATTGAGTGAAGAAAAAACTTCATAGATTTCACATAGGTGGCGCTACGCCAAAAAAGCCGTTAAAATCACAAACAAAAAAAATCATAAGGTTCAGTTGGTAGGACGAATGGTTCTTTTTTCTTAGAGGATGGAAAAACAATTATTTTCCATCGAGTATATAACCAGAAATAGAGACGAAATGTCATTTAATTTGTTTGAAAACTATTCTGCCATATCATTACTGTGACAACTGCGCTCCGATTGGCCAGCCCGGATTCAAAACAATTGACGGGTGTCGTCACTTCAAATCGACCAGTTAACTTGAGTTTTGCTATAATGGACGAAAATTGCAAAATTATATATTTAATTACCAATGAAATTTGATTCACTTTTTTGTAATTAGATGTTTTGCTGTTTTTTCCCACACCACCAAATGAAACAGCACACCATTGTTGGAGATATTATCTTTATTACAATAAATACAGAATATTTTTGGAATATATGGAGACGTACACAGTTGTTGGCGCTTCCTATATTTCAGTGCAAACGTGAGTTAATGTTTATAAGTGATACCAGGAATATATGGCCATTATTTCGTCTCTATTTCTGGTTATATACTCGATGTTCTTTTCTTTTTACTTGATGTCTAGTATACTGTTTATATAGATTCTTCGTATTGTATAAAGAGTGATGCAGGAGATGGCAAAGCTTTCTATTTATAGGAAAATAAACTATATTTCCGGATTTAAATCGCGTATATTTGTTTTTTCAAATAAACCGGCGTTTCGAGCCCTTTACAGGTCCCATGCTCACGGATTGTCACGGTTGACTGAGGTGGTACAGTCATCAACCAGTTACGTCGTCGTTTTGTTTGAAATATATGCGCGATTTAAATCCGGAAAGATAGTTTCATTGCCTATGTGTAACAATCGCGGAAACCCAAGAAATTTCTATTTATTTTAAATTTATTTTCAAGGGTAATTTAAGAATGGGTAAAAGCCAGTTTGTGAATATGAAGGCTATGTGATATGAAATCAGCCTGAAAAATGTGTATATACAATCCATTTCCTGCATTTCAGTGCAACTTTGTGCTTTAAGTTGTGAGAAAGTAAAGCGACGATATACCTTTATTGACTTGATTGATGAAACATTGTGATATTCGCAGGGCGAACAAAAAGACGGCAACATAGAAGACGTGTGTACAGATGATGAAAATGATGAGCTCGAGTATGAAGCGTGGAAGCTGCGCGAGATGAAGAGAGTCAAACGTGACAAGGAGGAACGAGAAGCGTATGTATCGCATTTTCATTATTATATTTTCGCTTTTACCACCATTTCAATAGCTAAAATTGAAAAGGTAAAACCATTGTATGCTAACTAATGTAGACCAAATAAAATCTTGTAGACCTCACTTTGTTAAGTGTCAAATACTGACCCTAGCCCGTTACACCAAGTACCAAGTAGTACTGACCCTTGCTTCTCTCTATGTTCTCGAGTCATATGAATTTGTTAGGAAGCACCCACATTTTTATTCAAGTCTAACGAATGATAAACGAAATAACAGAAACTTAAAGAAACCTCGAGTACCTTTCTCCGAAATGAACTTAGATACATCTGGCCCGTACACCATGTTAATTAGAATTTATAATCAATTAACCAGTTATATTAAAAACCTGCAAAGACTCACACAATTCAATAAACAACTAAAGGCATTTCTTGTCAATAAATGTTATTATGACTGTGACGGTGTAACTCGGCCCCCCGGGTATTGTGGCGGTGTGACCACCTTGCATCGTCATTCCACCTTTTTATTTAAATATCTTATTTTATTCTCACACTCGTATTTAAATTCAAATATTTAATTGTTCCATTCTTTGCCTCACTCTGATTTTGTTTAGTTCCATCGTCACACCGTCCCGATCGCGGTAGCGAACTCATCAATTTTTATCTTTTTGGACCTTTTACACCGTTTACATTTTTAAGATCGTAATATTATTATTAAACCTGAATAAATACCTATAAAACTGGATTTTCAACTTTTGAACTACTAAACTTACTAAGTAAGATGTATGGAGACTGCGGAGGCTACTACTACATTCCATCCAACAAGACACAACGCCACCAGCAGCATCAGCACGTTTACATGACTAAAATGTTTTTTTTGATGATTATATGAAAACAAATAACAATAATAATACAAATAAAAATACTTTGACATCTCATTAATAATTATTTATAATGAATGTATTGCGTAAAGTATGTTTTCCATTACTAATTAAGAATAATGCAATCTAATAATGTGATATAATAATTTAATCTGGTTGGGTTTAATTTGGGCTGGTAGCTGTAAAGGTGCCTAACTGGATGACGGAATACTTCCATAGATTTCTCATAGATGGCGCTACGGCTAAAAAGTCGATAAAAGCCCGATATAAAGATCTGACAAACAAGTACATAGAAAAATTCGTAAGGTCCGCTGGTTCGTTCTGTGGTTTACTTGGCACAGCGTCTGACACGGTTTGTTAGAAGACGTCGGTTCGAATCCGGCCGGATCGAAGTGTTCGATCGTTATATTAATAATTATAATAAAACTAGTGGAGTAATTTCACAAAAAATAATTGAATATCATGGTGATAAACATCCTGACTGAATATTAAATTATTATATTGAATGCAACCATACAACTATTTCTCCCGGCCCGGGAATCGAACCTGGGCCCTCTACGCGGCAGTCCGACGTGCTAACCGTTCGATCACAGAGGCAGTTAAATATTATATTAAATGTAATTATTGAATATAACCAAATAGTATGACTTAGAATTTAGCCCTTTGCTGTCGCGGGGCCCGTGCTAGGCGTCACAAGTGTACCTCTAATGAACGTAATGTGTTTCGCCCACAACGCCAGCGCGGAGAAGGAGCTGGTGGCGATGGAGCGCCTGCGCAACATGAGCGAGGAGGAGCGGCGCGCCGAGCTGCGCCTGCGCCCCAAGGTGCTCACCAACAAGCCCGTCAAGGGCAAGTACAAGTTCCTGCAGAAGTACTACCACAGGTAAAGCAGCTGTAATGCTAAAGACTTGCTTTTCACATCATTAATATAGTATCATCTCAAGAGTTCGTCCAAGGAAGTACTGCCACCGTACCACCACCATACAGTATTTCTGCCGCCAAGCAGTAAAGTGAGCATTATTGCGTTCCGGAAGGGTGCTGGTGTAATTACAGGCACTTGTCAACTTATGCCTTTGCGATTTATGGCTCTGAGTAACACTGCAACTGCTTTGGACAGGCATGTCGCTTACTACATATCAAAATTTAAATGATTTAAAAATTATTCTTGAATTGAAATACTCATGTTATTACTACATATTTGCAGTAGATATTACATTTTACTTCTAAAGTAATAGTGTTATTATATTGTGACATTCCAGAGGTGCATTCTACTTGGACAAGGAGGAGGAAGTTTTCAAGCAGGACTTCTCTGGACCCACATTGGACGATCACTTCGACAAGACTGTGCTGCCTAAGGTAAGCAATTCCAAGAGCTTCCACCGCGAAAGTCCTGGTTTGAAGACAGCACACTTCCTAGAAATACATTGGCCTTGGCATTTAGACTTCATGCTTGCAGAGATGCTTAAAAAGAGCGGAATCTAAGCTATGTCAGTTTTGTAACCAACTCGAAGATATGCTACATTTAATGGAATGTGACAATTATGCAGTTATAAGAAGCCAATTTAAATTAGGGGATATGTGACAGGTTAGCGGGTTAAATGTTGTGCTGGATAACCCGTTGGCTAGTGCTAAAACTCTGTACTCATATGCGAGGTCTTCCCTACTACTTGATTGACAATGCAAGGCTGACATTGACACCAAAGTGTTACAAACCTTGTTAAAAACAAAATTAAAAAAAGGTAAACATTGATTCCTGCTTGCAGTTATACCACCCTTATATCAAATGTTAAATGTCGTGATGTGCTTATGGCCGTGATATATGGTGTAAAGTAATAAATGAACATGTTTTTCACCTCACTGGCTCGGAAAGACTTTCTTTATCGTTAGAAATCTGCACACAGAAGCGTTTTTTCAATGTGGAAAAGGTTCTTGAAATTTGAACTTGACGATGGACTGTGGTGCACCTAATTTTTTTTTTTACATGAAAAAAAAACTAATTTTGATGAATATTTTTCTTTCATCTGCCATTTTCCTCCCTAAGTGAGGTGAAAAGTTGTGTGTTTCATTCGGCAGCAAGTTGTTTTGCGTCTCGTGACTCGCAACCCTCGCTACGCTCAGGATTCTATTTAAGAAATACTCGCTTCGCTCGTGATTCAATCTTGGACTCCTTCGCTTGCTCAGGTTCAATACAAGCATTCTCGTTAAACAACAACTTTGCAGCCTTGCATAACAAATTACTATTATATGTTAAATACAACCCCCGACTTCTGCGCTCTTCTTCAACTCTCCAAC